AGACCTGTTAGATAATATCGATCGTTCCAGTACAATTCATAAATGAATGACACAATCGGTGCATTGCGCTTCAGCACACACTCTAAATTTCAAATCAACAAGAAGATGCGATTTTCTGTGTTAATATAGTTTAGCTTCTAAAGTGTGTTTGTTGAATCATCTTTTATTGTGTTCACTTTCTCTTCGCAACGTCATCCAATTTGGAATAGGCAACGATATGTTTGCAAACTACTGGCCGAAAACGTTGACGAAGATCACCGTCGGCCAATAGCGACCGATAACTGCGGTAGTGGGGCAGCTAGTAAGAGGGGAAATGTAAACACAAAGGCGCCTTGTTGTCGCGCGAGAACTATACCCGTTGTTTTGTCTTCTAGTTGATTATTCTTGATTTGCTACTGACTCATTGCTGTTTCGCGAATGATGCGCTACAAAGTGGCGAAAGAAAAATTAAAAGCATTCCGTAACGTTGAGATATGTGGACAGTTATCGAAACTATGTAAATATTCATGCTCTTCTCAAGTATATATTTTTAATTATCTAGGAAACTGTGTTAATTGTACCAATTAATTTATTAGATGATAAAAGTGCCAACTCTTAAAATGATAGGACCCCATGTAACTGGATGATGCTGGCAATATAGGAACATAAAACACAATTGAGCACGATGTCTGACAAGTAGACTTCAGGTTTTATACGTTTATGGCTTGCGCCAGTTCGAGAAATCAAAGGAAACCATGCAAATTAATAACAACTGATTGCATTACTACTTTGTATCCATCACATGAAATTTTATAAACGACGCAAGAAATTTTTCCTTTATTCAAACATCTACGAAATAATTAAACAAAACGAATGCAATTACTTACAAAAATTAATGCATTATTTCTCGTCCGCAATTTTCATGATATTTGATTATATTGGATAACTTGATATTTCGAATAACTTTCTCTTTTATGATACCTGTTGCTACGTAACTTAGAGCTGACCCGAGGAAACGTTCATTAAATAATATAGATTTCTAGAAAATTTTTACATCTAAAAATAAAAAGTGTATTTTTAATTTATTATTATTATTAAATTGTATTAATGATAATAGACAATTCATTATTGTTATTGGACATCTGGGTTAGGTCTGAGTTGGGTCTGTAGTTTTTCGCGAATATCACGAAAACTAATGCACAGCGACAGTTTTTATAAAAGAAATAGTTGAGATCAGGCTTATAGCCAGACTGTAGATCATTATACAAAATAAAAATTGTCCTCGTCCATTATATAAAACCAGAGTTAGATTGAAAAAGTATTTCTTCTTGTAATGATGTTAATACAGCGGAAACAATGCAACAGTACTTCTTAAATTATTCATGTGCCATCACTACTCTGTGTTTCATTGATCCACATTTGCTATGAATGCATAAAATCCGCAGTCTATTTGTAACATATTTCAAATTATCAAAGTCGGAGAGGACCGAGAAATCGCCAAAATATATATATAGTGGCCCACAAAAGTGTTCGTACACCTTTCAAAACGCAATAACTATATCAAAATAACTTGAATTTTTTTAGACGATAGAGAAACTAGTCTACTATACGGTGGTTAAGAAGCTTTTTTTTTTAATTTTGCCATTACTTGGAATGAAAAGAAAAAATTAAAACCCCTCGTTCCTTAACTATTTTACCTGAGCCTATAACGAAAATTAAAAAAATGCCTGTCTTTAGATCTCGGTAATTTCAAAGACTACAGATTTCTTCCAGTTCGTGGTCGAAAACGTGATAAAACTGCGATCTTTAATTTGTTGTAACTCGCAACAACGTGAACCGATTTCGATGAAATTTTCAACCATGCGTATAAGTTGCCGAGATCTATGAAAGCCATTTTTCAAACTTTCGTTACACTCCCAGATAAAAAAGTTAAAAAACGAGAGAATTGTATTTCTTTGTCATTCCAAGTAAAATACCAAAATTCAACAAAAAAGCATTTCAATCATCGTCTGGTAGACCCAAGTCCCTCTGTCATAAAAAAAGAAAAAACCAAGCCATTTAATCCAGTTATAAAACAGTTATCGCGTTTTAAAAGGTGCCGGAACCCATTTATCGGCCACCGTATAAATTTGCCCAAAAATCCGTTTTCCTCGCGCCAGAGACACTCGAGATGCGCTATAGGCACTGGGTCGCGAAGCACAAGTTTCTAGGAGGAGCGGGCGACTGTCAGTGCCGGGCTGCTCCAAAAACGACACTAAGCTAGTCGGTCCAATGCCGGAAGAATCCCGAGTACCCAGTACCGAGTGCCGAGTCCCAATCCCGAGTAGCGTTCAGCAGGAAGAGTGGTGCTCGGCTGGTCGTGTGCGCGCGGCCACGTGCGTACACACGTGGAGCAGAAATACCGGTATAGAGGGAAAGAGAGGCCCGCAGTCTCGGCCTGATCTGGAGGAAGAGAGAGGGTGGAAGGGTAGCGAGTCGGAGCGAGACGAAGAGGCTCGGCTGGCACTCGAACGAAGCCCTATGGCTCGTCGCTCGAAAGAGAGCTCAGTGCCACGATGGTCAGCAGGCGGACAAGTCGCGGCGGTGGAACCGGAGCTCCGCTAGGCTGAACCGAGTCCGGTCCCTGGTCCATCGAATCGGTCGATCGGTGGGACGAGGAACAAGAGAGAGAAAGAGAGAGAGAGAGAGAGCGGGAGGAGAGCGCGTGTCTCGCTTAATCGCGCCTAATTAAGACGATTCTCTCGTCCGCTGTGGCAGCGCGCATGCACTGTCATTGACCGTCTGCGGTGTCCGCTCGCCTCGTAAATCATCCCGCTTCCCTCCGGACAGGGATGCCGGCTAATTGTGTCACGGTTCTCATACACGAATTTATTTTCGTCGGCTGCCGGTCTGATTAGCCCGGGAAATCAGTTTGCAGTTCGCCACGTACCGGCCGGGAACGCGGATCGTTCTCCTTTCCCGGCTACCGGCGACTCGTTCGGTTACCGGCAAGTCGATTCCCCGGGTGCCCGGATAGTTTGTGATTGGCTAGAGTGAACCGAGGAGATCCATCGTTCAAGATGATCGAGGATTTCGGAGGAGCTAGGAGCTTGTGAAGTGTTCTTTCACGGAACTGGAGGGAACGCCACGTGCTTGGCCCGTATTCCACCGCGCAGGGAACCACGTGGCCTCTGACAGCCAGCAGCACCCTTTCTCGTAAGTTTGCGGTCTCGTTCTTGCGTCGCCTTCAGATGGAGATGGTCGAATTTGAAAATTGGGAGGTCTTCCTGGTGCTCGCGAGCATTGTTTAATTAAGAGCTACGCGCGCGAGTTGCGAAATTTTCTCGGTGTACCTTGGGAACATTGAAGCGCAGTTCATTTCTTCCGGTGATCTTAATTTGCGTTCACGATAAAATAATAGGAGTGGGGAAATTAGAGCTCGTGTGTTTGCCTCGACAAGATGATATCGTTGAAGTTACGCTGTTATGCTGAATGTAGTCATCGCGTGAAATTTTCACACTCTGTAGACCGACAGTCGTCTATAAGTCATCTTTTAAAGTCTGAGAACGACGGTGTTTCTGCAAAAGTTGCTCAAAAGTGATGACAATTTCATCCACAATCCGACAAACAAAATTTCCATTAATATAAAATAACAACTTCTCCTGAAATTATCATTTGAACAGACGATCGTCGAGCTTCGTTCAGATGTATAAATGCATGAAAATGATTTTAATTTCCTGAATATGATGCTGACATTAGCAACTCACAATCCATCAAGCAGTAAAAGTGACTGGTACGCTTTATAAAAACGACGAAATTGAATTAATTTCACGTAATTTTTTCCTATCGCGTGCGAGCGTGAATAAAAGAATATATTCAATGGTTTCCCATGGAAGCGTATTCCTAATGCGAGGAAAAACCGGTCATACGATCGACGATGGTAGATCAGTGTTAAGTAATAGTGCACGTAACATTTGATTTCTTTCTCGGGAAAACCGAGATAGCGATCGGTCAAAGTACGTGACGCTGGTTATGAACGTCGTAATCATACGTCACATTTTCGTATGTTGCTCACATTCGTGTCTGATATAAATGCTTAAAGGACCAGTGTCTACGAAGTGCTTGTCTTCGCTTCAGAGAGTACGAACACGCAACTTCTTTTACTGCGTCCTCAAGATGTGGTATGCATCGAAGTAGCAGCTTTGTTACAACCAGCAGAATTCCTTTTCTTTTTTAATCGCAGGTGCAGCGATGCTCTTCAGAGTAACGCAAACTAGTCGTCATTTAAAAGAATAGTAATAGAATCGAATTATAGCAATTTCGAAAATTATATGCGTACACAGCAAACGCTGTCATTAAGTGAACTGCAATGCTGATGTAAATTAAAAAAAAAATAACATTGATCAATTTAATTATTACAGAAATGATATTCTTTAATTTAGTTATTGCAGAAATAACGTTCTTTAATTTAATAGTATAGGACAGTTCTTTCTATCTCTTTTGTCATTCCAAATAATAGAAAAATTAAAAAATAAGTATTTTAGTCATTGTAGAATAAACTAGACTCCCTAACACTTGAAGAAAATTCAAATCATTTAGATTAGTTTAAAAAAAGTTATATTACGTGTTGAAAGGTGTCGTTCATCTTTTCTCCGTAAGTGTAGATCGTTATCTGTTGACGAGCGTTAAATAGTGTTTGATACACCTTGAGATACGAAGAATTTTAAGCATGTATAATTTTAGTTTCCAATTTAAGAAGCTCGTATTTCTGATGAAACAGATTTAAAAGAAAACGGCTCAAAATAGCCTGCTTGTTTTTGCTTGTTTTCTACCAAGGATGGTGTTGTATTACATGGTAGCATAATTCTTTTCTGTGACAAACTGCTATGTTATTCATCTTCTCTTAAAGAAATCCATAAATCGAGAAACGATTTCGAAAGAGGTAAAGGTTTTTCTGGAAATGAACAGTGCATAGTTCTTATACAAATGAAGAAGGAAATTCAATCGACTGAAGAGCTTTTGATGATTTGCAAATCAACATATAAATGAATCTGAATTTATATTTTGTAAATGCGTATCGATATTTGAACATTTCTGAGATTATGTATATCGATTTTTGTCCAATACAGTAAATTCTTTCCAAAATTGTCCTTTAGCTTGTCCTGTAAGATCGCCCTGTAAGCAAAAATGAACAATTTAGGAAGAGAAGCTCGTTTTTTCTAGTTATCGATAATAATCGGCAACTACAGAAACGAGCCGTGTGCTCCGAATAATCGTACCTCCTCTTCTCAAATTGTCCATTTTCGCTTACAGTTTATCGTATTCTTCGGTTCGGCCACACTGAGCAACGCGTAGACCAGGCAGACGGCCGATCGGTATCTGATATTCGCGTAACCTTTAGCATCTCGCGCGCACTTCGTATGTAAATAGACGAAAGATTCAAGGAAAAGCGAGTCCGATAGATGTGCGACCTAGACGAGTGCTCGAGCGTTGAATCGCGCCACGTCGTGGCAACTGTTCTCGGAAACGGGGGTCGCAACGAAAGGAACCCTCGATGATCCTTGGCGAGCGTCCTCTAATACGCAAATCCTCTTCGCGGAACATCCCTCGCCGTGTGTAAGTAGCAAGTACGCGCGTGCACACATCGATACCGGATATACAGCCGGTTGGAAACAATGTGCTGCGTCTCTCCCGAGGACTGACGTTTCGATACGCAATCTTATTTAAGAGAGGCATAAATAATTGCGCACTCGAACCGTATTAAGATACGAAGTTATCGTGAAAACGACCAGAAAGCCGTGTCTGCTCGCGATAACCGACGAAAATAAGTCTTCCTCGGTTGACACCGAACTTTTTCCTCTTCTGTCAGCATCAATCGCTTGAAACCTTCCATTCGGGGATCGCTCGATCGACACGGGTTTATCCTACGATAGCCAAAATCGGACACGACCTAATCTTGTTAGTAGACCGCGGATCTTTGTGCATTTATCGCATGCGCAGATTTCTGAAATGCAAGAGAAACATATAGATTAACGAGGTCTAACAGCATTTTTATTTTATTTTAATTAAATAATTTATATTTATTAATAATTTATTTTAATAAGTCGTCTTTTTTAGTTTGATTATTACTATGATTCGTTAATAAAGTCACATTTCTATGCACTGTGTTTCCGGGCAGAGTTGGGCATTATTTGGATGAAATTTTATTTGATAAAAGAATATTTCGATTAAAGTTTTTCAGTAAATTTTCCCGATAAAATTGTATCCGAATATATATTTCGAATATAGTAAATTATTCGGATAAATGTTCAAATATTTTGACACAATGAAATTTTATTCAAATAAATTTTATAATTCGAATTCTAACTAATTTTATAATCCTCTTCTAGGATTCTCTCGAAAGTATCTTTCATTCAGCCATTATTCGGAAAAGTGCGGATTTTGTAAAGAACTCATAAATTGTTTGTCACGAAGTAAAAACTTACTTTCGAAATGAACTATTTTCTACTAAAACTATTCTCTTTCCACTTATACAGATTAAGCATAAGCGTGCAATTTTGTGTCAAATTACTGCAATTTTTGGAATCGTGTTTGCTAGCAGTAAACTTTCCCTAAAATACTCTTACTAACAATAAAACAAATTGAATAAATTCGTTTAAAATTCAAGTTCAAAATTCTAATATTCGATAAATCCCAGTTAAAAATTATGTTACAGTCAACCATAAACTGAGGAGAACCGTTAACTAAATGCCTCGCGTATTCATGATATTGAAAGCCCTTCAAAAACGAATAAACCAGGGAGTAGAATTTCAAATATTTGCCATGCCTTCAGATTCATCGAATCTGTCAAATTCAATTTCACATTACATGCCATCTGCTCGAAGAAAAAGAAATTCAAATTTGCATAACAATGTCCGGTCTCCTGTCGTAAGTGCATGAATAATCTTCGGTCGGCCGACTGCGATCGTGATGCCACCGAGTTAGCAGGTCGAAAGCCGGAGAACTGGCTAGAGTAGGCACAGACTTGTCTCCGGTATCGTGTCATCGGGATCGACTCTCGAAAACGGATCGTCGGTAAAAGCTTCGTTCGAGGCTTCGAGAACCGACGATCTACGAAGCAACGCAGGATCGTATAGCGCGGTCAAATTGCAGAATTTTGTAAAAAAATCGAACTAGTCTCATAAATGACGAAATGTTGCTATCATTTGCTCACTATAAAATAAGTAATTACAATTTTACGAATTTTTTAATGTTAACCGCTGTCTTCTGATACAATATTGTTTATTTTAGTATTCTAAGATTCGCTTACGTTAATTTGCAAATTATTAGAAATTCTTGTAGAATTCAACGCTTGATCCGAATTCGGGAAGAAACATTAACTGTTCTATTAAAGAAAATTGAAGGCGACCTTCATATCTTGATAGAAAAGCAAAATAACATAAAACTGATGACAATATTATGTCCCCCTGAAAACCATGCAACTTCTACCTGAACAATTTTTTCGTACAACAAATATTTTATCAGTTATTTGAGATCGTCATGTTAGGAGACTCACCCTGTATATTCTGTTCAATTTCAGTAAAATGTTTACACACCTTATTTGAAATCGTTTCAGTTGTCCTAGGAAAAAGGTATATAGCAACGTGATACAACAACCTCTTCATACAAAACAATCAAAGCTGCATTATATTTTGAGTCGTTTTCTTTTGAATCAATCTTTTAAAAGATAATTAACTTCTAAATTGTAAACCAAAATGATCAATGATTCTGTTCAAATCCTGTACATCTAAGGTTATTCCTTTCAACTTATTAAATAATGCCTTTCATATATACCTTTCAACTTATTAAAATTGTTGAAGAAAGAGAAAGAAATATTTCTGTAGCTTCTGTATCTTGCAATAAATGCAGGCAATTTTTATTTCGCATAAAAATCCGCAGTCTAGTGATCATATTAAATATATTTTTGTAATACTTCATTATGCTGAAGCTTGTTATTATGGATTCAAAAACGTTTTCATTCTTCTCAGTATGGCTGTCACCATTCGCAATGAGAACTTCAACGGAACGTACAGCCAATACGTGCAGTAGATAAAAGATAGTTCGATAGAGTTCGACATGGTTCGATAGTTAAAACAAAATTCCTACGCAATGTTAACACTCGTTAACAAATGATAATGTACATTGAACAAATGAGCTGATTTCTAGCAATTAGAATGCGAGGTATTATATATTCAATGGAACCTAATGCTCTATCGATTTCTTCGGAAATTAATATTTACGTTTATGTAGTTCACTTATCGATTGATAATACCACGAAACAATTAGTTCAAAATCGGCCAAACAATTTCTCGATTTCTGCCAACAGCAGAGTCGTGCGGTGGATCGGTGTGAACGGCCTGTCGCAGGGACTGCACTCGTTTGCTGACTACTCGCTCGTATAATTTCTGGGCCGTGCGTAATTCAACGCACTCCCACTTACGTCACGTGATTATATCGTTTCCGCGGCTGTTTATATAGCGTCGTTTCGGTTTTAATTGTCCCAGCCAGTATTGTGTGTCCGGCCGCGGAAATTGCGGTGCGCCAGACCCCGGCGAATCGCTTCCGAAACTGTTTTGCCGATGATTACTTTCGCCTGAACAGCGAGCCGAAAGCGCAAGGCGGAGCTCCGCCATCGATAAACTATGGGAACTATGGGAAAATTTTTCGAACACGCTCGGATCATCGAGAAATCGACGGCATCGAGTTGCTCGAGTATTTAGATAGAGGAGGAATACTAGGTTATATTTGGTGCTCGAAATTAACTGCTCGCAGTTATAGTAGATTCTCGGTTATTCGAAGCAGAACGCAAATATTCAGATAATAGAGTTGTTTGGGGGGGGGGGAGGTTCGGTGTTAAATCAAATCTTTATCGATTTTCGCAATAGTGTTCCATGTGGATCGCTTTCGATTGAGCTGTTTTCGCGTGAAACGCGTTTAGGGAATCGGGATATCAGAAGTTCGGATAATCGAGGTTCTGTTTTACTAACAAGAAAGTCATATGAAAGCATGTATTCCTTTTGGAATGACAATTAATGACAATTTAAGTACGTATCTCTGTTGCTTTTTTCTTTCAATATTTTCAACTTACGCCCTGTAGTAATTAATATTAATATTAAGTATTAGTAAGTATTAATATTAAGTATTAGTAAGTATTAATATTAAGTATTAGTAAGTATTAATATTAATTATTAGTAAGTATTAATATTAAATATTAGTAAGTATTAATATTAATATTATATTAGTATCAATATTAATATTAATTACTAGTAATTAATACTAGTAATTATTACTAGCAGTCGCGTAATGTTAAAAGATAAGTAAACAAAATTTACGTAATAAATATTTTATCGTTGACATCGCATTTACGTAAAATGACAGAAATGTTGGTTAAAGTAAACAATGAAAAATTTCGAAAATCCTTTTCTCGGAACTAATTTAATAGAGCTCTTAAAACCGCTTTAAACGTAATTAAAAATTCTCTCCACGCTTTTTTTTACTGATCATTGGACTGCGGATTTTACGCATTTATGACAAAAGACGAGTAGATCAAATACAAAATGGGAAACACATTTGAAGAACTAAAAAATAATATCGCCTTCCTTTCAACTTATTGAAATTGTTAAAAAAAAGGAAATAGATATTTTTGTAGCTTCCGTATCTTGCAATAGATGCAGGCAATTTTTATTTCGCATAAAAATCCGCTGTGATACTAAATATATTTTTGTAATACTTTATTATGCAAAAGCCTGTTATTTCGGGTTTAAAAACATTTCCACTTTTCCCAGTATGACTGTCATCAATTGCAATGAGAACTTCAACGAAACGTACAGCCCATACGTGCGATAGATAACAAATAGTTCGATAGAGTTCGAATGACTCGCTTGTTAAAACAAAATTTCTACGCAATGTTACAGAACAAATATATAGGTTTCCATGCAAATAGTGGTCTCCTATTATTCGGTCAACAATGAAACGCACGTAAAAGGATTTAATAAGAAATTGATAAATTACGTCACTCTGATAGCTTTATTGCATCAGAATGATAATTTTTCGATTCGATTCAAAGATTGATTAACCCCTTAACGCGCAGAAACGTATTAACACGGGCGTGCAAAACCGGCCAAAATGTGCAGACCCGTATATATACGGTCGGCGTCGCAACTTATGTCGCTAAAATGTTCAGATTCGAATATATCCGGGCAGTAAAAATAACTTAATAAAAACCAAGGAAAACATTCAATTTATTGATATTCATCGTGTAATTCTGTATTGTAAGCTGTAAAGTTTGTTTATTTGGGATTATAAAATATGGCCTTTTAGGGTGACGCTTATAAGCATCTCTGACCTGGTAATTGTTTCTATCTATCTATATCCATTATTACGTATCTAATTAGCGTTGGCACTTTTGTGAGTTTTGTTATGACTAATTTATTTATTACTCTCCAGTTATCTCCGATCTCTTTCTATTTTTTGCTTATTCAGGAATAAAATATGCACTTTTAGGATGGCACTTATGAACATTTAGTGTATTATTCGTGAGCAAGTCGTGAAGTAAAGTAGACGTTATCAAAGTGAATTTCTTCAAAGACAATTGTTTTTTATTTTTTACAAATATTATTAGTGTCAACATATAAAAACGTTTTTGTTTTATGGTGTATTTTTATAGAGAGTAAATTGGATTTTTAGTGTATAAAAGGTATGTTTTCTAATGTTGAAATAAGGAATGTTGGGCTATGTGCTGCACCTTGTTTTGAAATTTACCATACAAAAGAAAATTTTGAATAGTTTTAGTTTATTATATATTTTTCAGCTAATAAATATCATTATTATATTATTACAAATTTAGGTAAAATTAAATATTTTTCAGTTTGTTTTTTCGTCTCCTCCTTCCCCTTCAAAATAGTAACTGGTAATTGAAAAACAGTACGATGGGTACAAAATTCGATCTGCAATGCGATTCAATATTCACTACAATTATTTATCCACTATTTTTATTGAATTTTTAGTAATTTTTGCATTTTTTTTACATATTTATTGAAATTAAGGTCCAAATATGTATTTTCTTAGATAAAAAAAATTGATTTTTTTTGGTCGGATTTTTTTTTTTAAATTGTGCATTAAGGGGTTAATAGATTCTCGATCGTTAATATTAGTGTTTGACGCTAACAGTACCGAGTAGTTCAATCCACGAAAATTATTGTAATCCAATGAACTGTGTCCAGTGATTGGAGCGATCTCTGAATGTTCGATTTTTGCACGAAATCGCAAAATTTCCCTCTAATTCGCGCTCAGATTGCGCACAAAAATGAACAATTTGGGAAGAGGAGATACGATTATTCGAGCCTTGCGTCTCGTTTTTATAGTTGTTGACAATCGGTAACTATAAAAACGAGTCGCAAGGTTCGAACAATCGTATCTCCTTCCTCTCTTCAAATTGTCCATTTTTGTGCACAATCTGAGCGCGAATTAGGGAGAAATGACTGTATCTTCATTTCTTGAAAGCGTCGGTATGATGCGAACCGAGCTTTATCTCCGAACTGACAAATTTGTTCCTAGCCCGTAAACCATGAGAACCTCGAGAGATTTAGTCAGCAAAATACAAGGAAACATTTGATCCGTCCTCTCGCGGTGATCTTCCGTAAATACTCAAGTTATTGTGGTGGATTTTCACCTAGCCGAGGTTTATTGGCGGATGACTCAGCCGGATCCATCTACGAACCCCATAAATCTCTCTATATCGCTAAATTTCAGATTGTTTTCACTGGAAACGATATGTTTGGCCCGATTTCTCGATACACTGCTCGGGAAATATTTCGATCGTTGTGGTGTAAGCGTTGAAATCCCAGTTCTTCGAATCTACCGGATTATCTTCGAGGTTGGGAATCTCCGCATACTCTTAGTTTTCGAGGAATTGCATTATCGTGGTTGTAGATTATATTACCGTGAATCGTTCCTATTTGATCATTATAATTATTAGACTGCGGATTTTATGAATTTATGACAAAAATGAGCAGATGAAACGCAAAGCTGTGTCACTACCGGACGAATATAATAATTTGATTATATTATCTATAAACTCATTAAGATTATTCGAAATGGAAATAAAAATGTTTATCCAGTTCCTGTTTCTTGTGACTAATGCACACAATTTTTATTTTGCATAAAGACCCGTAGTCTAATAATTATGCAGTGAAAACGCGCACAGTCTGTACAGAGAAAAAAGATTTCCTTATTTTATTTCCTGCACGCATTGTTTTACCGAGGTATATTTTATACATAGGTTTATAAATAGTAATTATATGCGATTCTATGTGAAAAGTTGTAATATGGTGACAGGTAAAATTGTTTTACATAATTTTAAAGTCTCTTTCATTTCTATCTATCTATGTAGTAATCATTGACAAACAATGTTATAAATTATCTGTCTCGCGATAGAGATTTCTAGTGACAATCTGTTAAGTACGAATGTTATTTGGTTATTTCGGGTCGGAGTAAAATTCTGTTCCCGTCTCATGTATATTTAAGTATTCAAGTAAATATTGGCACGCGATAAATACGTATTTTCTTTTTCTTCCAAGAAATGATCACTGCCGATAGCTTCAAATCATTGTAACAGCGAGGAAAATGGTACAGCAACGAGTTAATGCGTCGAACATTTAAATCAAAAGTCTCTATCCACCATGGAATATGAAAGTAAAACGCAACAGGAATGAAAAGCAGTACCAATTCTCAGAAGTGTTTTCGAACGAGCTATAAAAAAAGCATGTCGCCTGTTATCAACCGAAGCAGCATGATTTCCCAGAATAGTTTACTCGTTTCGATTCCGGGAAGATTATGGTAACATCTGTTTCGTAAAAAGGTGTGCTGTTTGACGATTCTTGCGAAATAACGCGCTGCTGTCCATTAACAAACATTTCGTAGCCGAGTGCGATTACTCTCATGTTTGTATTATTTTATAGTAACATTAAAGACAAAAATTGCATCGCGCGAAGCTTCTTCTAGAAGATATCTTTAGGCGATTAGAGACAGAGAAACTATTCGCACATGACACAAGGTTATTTTACTTATAGTTTATTTTTAGATGTACAGTTATGTGTAATTATAGTTATCGGAGCATCTGTCATTAATGTATCTATGTATTTTCAGTTAACACATAAAATAGAAACCTGGACAAAATCAAATAAGATCAAAATTAACGCAAATAAATGTCCACGTATAACGATTAATAAAAAAACCATCTCACTAAGTTAGAATGTACTAAAATGTCTCCAAAAAAAACTCGAACCAAATGTAATTAACTGTATTATCAATAAGGAACGTTGACAAAGGATTAACAAAATTTTCATTTAAACGGAAATTAATGAATAGCACGCGTTTCTAAGCGATAACTCGTTGATGAAAATTAATATTAACGCGATATTGCCGTAAAATAAACGTCGACAATGCGCGCCGTACAGATCGATGTCATGAATCTTGGCTATCTGACTGAAATACA